TAGATGCTAAAATGCGTCACATTTGAGCACTTATTAACTAGATTCTTGTATATTATATTGTCAAAGAACTTGTAATTCATTCTTATTGTATAGATCAAAGTTAATTAAGAGAAAATTATATCTTTCTTAAAAAGTATTTTGTTGATTGTTTATGGTTCATGTTCGTAACACCCATCTAGCACATTTAAGGCTTGACAATCCCTTGCAGTTAGGGCCAAAGTGAAGCGAACCAAATAGAAGTCATTCTTGCTTTCCTCAATCGCTAAAGCAATACACGAGTGCATACGCTCTAACAACTGCAACGATTAAGAATATTTGTTTGGCTTCTCTTTGGCTGCAAATATGGATCTGATGATCTTGGCACTCCTGCACATGACTAAAAAATTACAAACATACCCCTAGAGGATACACTTAAAGCCAAATACCTTCCTAAAGTGAGAGGTTTTTTGGAAGAAAAGAGAGAATAATTTAGTAATTACATAATGTGTACCATTTTTTTTTATTAAGTGAATTCTTATTTCATTGTTGTTACTTTTAAAATAAAACAGTTCTTTGCTTTTGTTTTTTTCCTTCTCAATATATATCATTTTTTAGCATGGTGAAAATTCACCACTATGTTGCCTTTCTTTTCTTTTCTCACCATCCTCTCAATTTTTTTTTTTTCCTTCTTTTCCTTTTGCTTTTTTTTATTTTTTATTTTTATTTTTTTTATGTAATAATAATAACAATAATAATAACTCCGGTTCATCCATGTTTTGTTGGTTGAAATCGAACTTTTTAACTCAATTTCGAAATAATAGTGACATAAGCGAAAAAAAAAAAGAGAGTGTTAACAAGTTAGGAACCATAAATAACTTTAAATCTACAAAATTAAAGATAAAACTTGTATTGATGATTGAATAAATAAAATTAATTCTGTTTTTTGTAGTACATGTACTTATACTTGAAAAAAAAAAAAAACATAACATTAGAAAGAAACTTAAAGATTTTAAAAACTTAAAAAACAAATTGTTTCTAACAAATTCTGAAAAAATAAAATAAACAACTTAATCAATAAAAACTACATAATATAAAAATTCAGAACAATTTAGCTTGGTTAAGACCTCTCACAAAAATAAGAAAAAATTTGTCAAATTCGGACAAAAAAAAGTGATTTCAAAATCTTAAACGAAGGTTTGTGACATGACCTACAAACTAAAAGTGAAAGTCACTCACCCGCTAGTTTTCACCTAAAAACATCCATATATATATATAATAAAAAAGGACTTGTCAAGTTCCGTCTTTAAAATCTAGAATTAAGAAAAGGAAACAGAACATAGAAAAGGTATTGAAGGATAGTATCCAGTACCCAACGCTTTTTCCTATCCACACGTATGCCTTAAATTGAATCCAACGAGTGGAAAACGTGCAGTACCATCGGACTTTCCTCATAACGGACTCCAATGTCGGCTTCATCACGCAATTCATAATATTGATGTGTATATATATATACATGAACAATACTTATATCAAAGGCCGACGCGTTGGCTTACCATCATTCCATTTTTCTTCTGTTTCAACCGTTTTCCAGGGACAAAAAGTTTCTCAGAAATCAAACGCAAAGTGCCATTTATGCAACCAATAAAGACAAACCCATACTACCGTTTGAAACAATTTAAAAAGAATATATATATATATATATATTAATAGTGTGATTGTGTTACCCATCATACCAAAGAGGTCTTCTAATGGCACATTATGGTATTATTTTTTTAATATTGATATTTAAATTTGGACACATATTATGCTTGGAAGTTTGAAATTACTTATATTGATTTGAAATAATTCATAACATATTAGTTTTTTTTTTTTTTTTTTTCGCTATCATATCACCACATCACCATGGAGGAATTAAAGTAAATTTTTAAAAACTTTAAAACAAATTTTAATTACCAAACATTATTTCGATTTTTATCCAAAACACAACTACCAAACGGAACACATCACATATCAAACGGCCCTTAACTATGGAGAGTGAAATGGATCCAATAATTTCACCAATACATCCGAATATTTTACTTAATTTTGGTCGTCTTTTTTTTTTTTTTTTTTTTAATTTCGAAAATATTTTTTTAACTCAAATTTGAAATATTTATTTGTTTGCTTGGAACCATTGGAAGGTGGGTTCTAAAATTGAGTCTTCTTAATGAAATACATTAAATTGGAAATAGAATTGGATTGGATGGGATTTCAAACTTTAAAATGTTTTGATTAAAATAATGGTCGAATCTAGTAAAATTAATAATTTAAGTAAAATTGGTAATTTATTTAATTTGACTCTTATTTTAGTATCTTAAACTGTCTCCAATGGCATAACGGCGTTGACAAGGACTTAGAAGGTAAATCATTGATATCTTGCTTTCGAACTGCACTTATAACTTGAATGGTATGTGTGTTATGGGGTCGATGCACGTGTTCTAAGAAAAAAAAAAAAAAATCTCCAATGGACATTTGAAAAAGAAAAAAAAAAAAAAAAAACAAAAAATTGAACAGGTACTACTAGGGGTACTGGGAATATGGTATTCCTGCCAATGATGAATTATCATTTTCTATTATTAAGAAAAAAATGAGTATTTTAAACTGGAATGGATATTGGTTCGGTAGAGGTACCGAGACTATAGTAGTTAGGCCAATGATAGAATTATCATTTCTTATTGTTAAGGAAAATTGGGAGTTTTTACCGGCAGAATGATGTAGAATGGGTTGCCAAAGATCACGAAGGCGTTTTGGACTGAGTATTTTTGAATAGTTTTGATGAGCCCATTTCGACTCCAAAAGTCCTAATGTTTAGATTGGGACTCGAAGTCTTTTGAATTTTAGAATTTAAAAATCTTTAGTAATTAAGTTTATTATTCCATTTTTTCATAATTTGCCACGATTTCTTGTTTATAAATATATGTACGGCATAATGCAAAATTCATTTATTCGATTATAAATAATATAACAAATTTATGTACAATTTTCTCATAACTTTTTGGATTCAAACTGTTGTTTTGTGATCCTTAATCACTTTCGTTTTGTCATTGCGTAGTACAGTAATTTGTTTAAATAAACCCCGAGTATTTTTAAAATTTTCCCCTTAAACTCCTGTTTATTCAATCCCTTTTTTGTTCTCCAAATCCCAATTCGAATAGGATTCGGTACCAAACAGTGCTAATAATCCAATGCAAATAAGAACAATCCACGAGCATTTCTTATCAAGGAAAAACCACTTATAACAGAATGATTCCACTTGGAAACTATGTGCGGTCATAGTAATCGACGTTTTCAACGAGATACGGAATCTGAATATACACCGTCAGGATTTAATGCTCATATTGAATCAAATGTGAGTAACAAACTTTAAAGATTTTTAAAAAAAATGTAAATTACATCTATTTATTTTGAAGTCTGACATGCCATTTGTTATCAGGTTTTCCTTCTCACATGTCTATGGACCAATTTTTAGAAAATAATAATTTTATCTTTTTTTCATGTATAAAATGCAATATAATGATATTATTGACTTTTTACACCTAATATTATTTTTGGGAGATAAAAGAGAAAAAATATTTTTCCATGGTGACACTATAAATAATATTTTGTCACATAATTGAGTGTTTTATTTTAATAGACCATATCACTAAGTGTCAATATTTAATTATTTAGTAATAATACAATGTCATTAATGTAACATGAGCAATAAAGATTTTTATTTTGGATGATCAATTTAAGAGAAGTCAAAGTAATAAACTCTCCACTCTAATCGGTGTGTAATTTGTCCTTTGTCCAAACTTTAATACTTTGGTTGATAGGATGGAAGAAATTTTGATGAAAGAGAGAGAAGAAGAAATAAATAAAATATCCCTAGGGAATATATTTTGTCATTCCCTCTTTTTATTTGGTTGGATGTAGGTGGGAAACCACGATTTTAGTTTGGGGGCACAGTATTATAAAAATAAAAAGGAGTAAAAGGAGAAAAAAAAAAAAAAGAAAAAAAAAAGAAAAGAAAAAAAAAAAAGTAAGAAAAATGACAACTTAAAAAGGAAAAAATTAAAATTTAATTTAACAAGGAAAATTTAACTTTTTAAAGGGAATTTGAAAAGTAAATTAGGAAAGAGATAGAAAAATAAGAGATAATTTTAAAAATTAATAATTTTTGGAGGGCATTATATAAAAAATTCCATATATATACATATAAAATATAAAAAAACTATCATATGTATAGTGGGTGGGGTAGGCCAAGGGCAAGTGCTCCTGGGCATACACGGGCTCCACCCGAAAAGAAGAAAGTATTAATTATAAATAAAGTTTTGTAAATTAAAAATATTTAGAAGAAAGGTTTTGTAATTTAAAAATATATGTAATAGCTTGACATTCTTTCTTGGTGCCTTCCCCTCTCATATTTGAGGAATAAAAAATTGTGAAGGTGGAAAGATGAATTGTCTCAATTATCATCTTTTCTCTTCTTTCCTTGCTCCATCTTTGTAAAACAAAACAAAATTATTTCTTTCTTTTTATTTTACATGCACCAAGGGATGGCAATTTACCCCAATTCGGTGGAAAACCGTCCCATCACCGTCCTATTTATAGCGAATTTGGAGAATCATTTATTTAAATGGGGGTGAGAATAGGGGTTGAAAAAAAAAAAAAAATAGGCCGGATTTGGAGCTGAGGCAGGGCTACACCACCCGATTATATATAGAATTATTTCTATTAACCTCTACCAAGTTATTGTATTTATCGATTTAATATTATATATATATATATATATATATATATAGACTTCTAAATAAATCCTTACTCATTCTTATCTTCTAAAACTATTAGGGAACGATTTTGAAAATGTCAAATTTAAATGAGAATGAGGATCCAGAAATCTATCCTGTTGCCATCCCTACGTGATGCACCCGAGCGGAGCATAAGATATTTTTACCTTTTCCTTCCCTAACAAAAAGTGTCTCATATATTTAATGAATCAGTCGGTACGTGTCCGTGTAGGAAATAGTGTGAGCTAAGGAAACTAAAATATTCTATTCACAAGCCTCACTCTTTAAATACTGCTTTGCATTCAACGACATTGCCTAAGTTTTCTCTCCTTTCCACCAACAACCCTTCCGTCTTAATTTGCCTTCCAATTTGGACTGTTTGGTTCTTAAAACCCACTCCAAATTCCTTCCTCTGAATCCATCATCAATCCATGGGGTTCCAAATAACTCCCACGTCACCCGCCGGAAAATGGCTTGGATTTGTCGCCGCCGTTTGGGTCCAAGCCATCTCCGGCAACAATTACACCTTCTCAAACTACTCAGACGCACTCAAGTCCCTCATGGCCCTCACTCAGCTCCAACTCAACAACCTCTCCGTCGCCAAAGACGTCGGCAAGGCCTTCGGCATCCTCGCCGGCCTCGCCTCCGACCGCCTCCCCCCGCCGGTCCTCCTCCTCATCGGTTCCATCGAAGGATTCATTGGTTACGGTGTCCAATGGCTTGTCGTCAGCCAGAGAATTCAACCTCTCCCTTATTGGCAGGTACACAAATACACCTTTATTCATGGCCAATTATGAGAATTTGTTGCAATAAAAAAAATTATTATTCCTTATAATTGTATTTTTTCTTACAGCCCCTACATACTCTAACCACCCACCTAAATTCAACTGTTGATGTGTATATTTTTGTGCGTCGTTACTTTAAAACACATTCTAATGTTAAGTAGTCCGACCATCCAACCAACCGGACTTTGAGTAAACCACCCCATGCTGTAATAAGAATTAATAGATTTCGGGCTCTTAATCATTTTCGATCGCTCAAACACTCTTACCATTCAGAACAATTTGCTCCAATATAAAATAAAAATGATTAATTTTAATTTTATTATTATTGTTATTATTTTGTTTTTGTGTGTGTAGTTAATATACACTCTCTCTCTCTCTCTCTATATATATATATATATATTTTTTTTTTTGTGTGTGTGAAATAGTTAATATACTCTATTTACCACTCTAACTATCCATCTAAATTAAACTGTTGATTTGTATATTTGTGTGCCTAGTTAAATTAAATGCGCATTCGACCAGTGCTGACCACACCATGATGTCAGATGTTACCCCATTCACAGTGGGCTCTTAAATCGAATTCTAAATTTTGAACAATTTGCTCGGATAAAAATAAAAATTTAAGTGTTTCTAAAAATTTTTATTTTTATTATTACTATCTTCGTCCTAATTTAAGTGTTTGTTTTAAAAATTATATATATATATATATATATATATATATATATATATAAACAAGTGAAGATTTTTACGATATATATATATATAAACAAGTGAAGATTTTTACGGTTCCAAAACAGGCCGGAAGGAGTATTATTTTTTTGTGTGAAATTGTTAATATACAATCTATCTATAACTCTAACCATACAATCTAAATTAAAATGTAGATGTGTATATTTCTGTGTATGGGAGGGAATAGCACGACATGGATGAACACAGCAGTTCTGGTGACTTGCATTCGGAATTTCCAGAAGAACAGAGGACCGGTTTCTGGGATTTTGAAAGGGTATGTGGGGTTGAGCACCGCCATATTCACTGATCTCTGTACTGCTCTGTTTTCCGAAGACCCTTCCACTTTTATTCTCATGCTCGCAATTGTCCCCTTCCTTGTCTGCCTGACAGCAGTACTCTTCCTCCGTGAAATCCCGCCGTCGTCGACGTCACGGGAAGAGAAAGAAGAAGTCCGATACTTCGGAGTTTTCAATGTCGTTGCTGTCATTGTTGCTCTATATTTGCTGGCATTTGATGTTTCCGGAGCTCATGGAGTATTGTTTTCTCGAATCTTTGCTATTATACTTCTCGTCCTCTTAGCTTCGCCATTATCGATCCCTCTTTACCTTGCACTCCAGAATTTTAACAGCTCCGATTCAAAATCTAGTTTGGATGTTGAGCGTCAGGTGAAAGAACCGTTGCTGGTTCAGGATATTGGAGCTAAGTCGGAGACAGGGAAGAAGATGGAGGTGGCAGTGGTGGAAAATGGAAATGGGTTGGTGGCAGTGGAGGAAATGGTGGGGAAAGATGAGGCGGAGGTGGAGATTGAGCGGAGGAGACCGGTGATTGGAGAAGACCACACGATTATGGAGGCGTTGAGGACCATTGATTTTTGGATTTTGTTTGTATCATTTCTTTGCGGAGTGGGGACTGGTTTGGCTGTGATGAATAACATGGGACAAATGGGGCTGGCTCTTGGCTATGTGGATGTGTCCATTTTCGTTTCACTCACTAGCATTTGGGGATTCTTTGGTCGCATTATTTCGGGTTCGGTTTCGGAGTATTTCATCAAGTAAGTTTATTTCAATTACTCTTTTTGTGTAGTTTCTTTGAGGATGTATTGGATTCCATACACAATGTCACATACACAACAGGTCTGTCAAAGCTTTATTAGATGATACAAAAGATCGTTTGGACATTTGCTAGATCACACTCCTGAGGATGCTTCCTTGTTACTTCACTTTAGTGCCGTTAAATCTTTAGATCAGTTCAATTTTAAATGGTATAGTATTATATACATGTAGGACGAGAAACAACTAATTTCTTTGAGGATTTATTGGACTGCCTACACAATATCATACAATGACATGAACAGTGTTTGGCCATTCAAATCTTTATTAGATGATAACAAAAAAAGATCATTTGGACATTTGCGGGACCACACTCCTGAGGATGCTTCCTTGTTACTTCACTTTAGTGCTGTTAAATCTTTAGATCAGTTCAATTTTAAAGGGTATGGTAATATATACATGTAGGACAAGAAACCACTAATTTCTTTGAGGATTTATTGGACTGCATTCACAATATCATACAAGGGCATACACAGTGTTCGGTCATTCAAATCTTTATTAAATGATTACAAAAAATCACACCCTAGGATGCATGCTTATTACTTCACTTTAGTGTTGTTAAATCTTTAGATCAGTTACATTTTAAATGGTTTGGTAATATACTAATATATACATGTAGGACGGCACACACCCTCGTGGTTTTGCTAACTGTGGTCATCATTTCCCTCGGAAGATGTCTATGAAACCACTAATTTTTTTGGGGGTTAAAAATCACATGTAGAAGCATTTTGGGCAGGACTAATCACCAAACATGGGAGTAAGTGTCCGTGTTCTTTAAGTTGTGTGGACGATAAGCTCAATAAAATCTGGTGGAAGCTAGAGTCGAACTTCTCATTCGTTCTCAGTCCATAAAATGTGATTCATGGTTAATTGTTCTACCCTGCGGGTTCATGCCCTCTTAATCTGGTCATTTTCTATCCGTTACTTCAATGCTGTAAATTTTAGGGCCTCACATGGGCAGGCTGATTTGGGTTGTTACAGAAAGAAACTTGGTAGAAATTGTAAATTGTTGCTTTTGGACACGTTTTTTCAAATAGAGACACCGAGCCGCCGACACACAAGTTGATGGCATGATCAAGACCAAGAAAATTCCGTACTCTCATATTGGCTTTTTGGAAATTTACGCCTTCGCCGTCCATTCTTGAAAAGTCCACAAGATATCAATGTTCTTGTGGGATCCATTCCTGAAAAATTCCACTAAGGAATATAAATGTCCTTGTGGGCTCATATAAGCATGGACCATCCACCCATGGGTCTACTTCATTTACCTTGACAATCTAGTTTTTGATAGTCATAAAATCCATTTCTATCCGCATGTTATAGTCACCCTGTCACACATATGTTTAATTTTAACTATGAACTATGATTCCCTGTCTAATGGGTCTAATTTAGTAGATCATCTATACCAAATGCACTTGAATCTGATTACTTGATTTAGTAGATCATATATACATACGTATATATGTATCTGATATTGAGAGGTATCCAGCATTTTGGCAGGAATAATCTCCAAACATGTAAATAAGTGTCCATGTTCTTTAAGTTGTGTCGACGATAAGCTCAATAAAATCTGATACGGTGGAAGCTAGAGTCGAACTTCTCTATTGTTGTCACTTCATAAAATGTGATCCACGGTTAACTGTTCTGTCCCGGGGGTTGATGATCCCCTTTAATGTGTTCATTTTCTATCCATTACTTCAATGCTGTAAATTTTAGGCATTATTTAGGCAGGCCGATAATCAAATTTTATTTACAACTTGGAAGTTGTAAATATTATGAACTTTTGGACATTTTTTATTTTTCAAATATAGACACGGATACACGTAAACACAAGTTGATAGCATGATCAAGACCAAGAAACACAAGTTGATGGCATGATCGAGACCAAGAAAATGTCACAGTCTCAATTGGGCTTATCCGAAATTAAAGGCATCACTGGGCATCCTTGAAGGATTCTACAGAAGTTCCACTAGATATCAACGTAATTGTGGGCTTATTCGAAATCCATTCTTAAAAAGTCTACAAAGGAAACACGGATATGAGTTTCCTTGTGGGCTCATTCGAAATCCATTCTTGAAAAGTCTACAAAGGAAGCATGGATCTGAATTTCCATGTGGGTTTATACAACATAGACCACAGACCCATTGGTCTCTTTCATTAACTTGACCGTCTAGTTTTAGCTATTTATACCATTTCTATCCATATATCCTAGTCACACTGCCACACCTACTTTTACTTTTAACTATGTTTCACTATCTAATGGGTCTGATTTAATAGATAATCTATATGAAACGCACTTCGATCAGATAGCTTGATTACGTGATGATGACAAAATACTGTTTACATGGGTCAGAAACTTTTGATTTGGGTTGTTACATAATGAAACTTGGTGGAAATTGTAAATGTTATTACTTTTTTTTTTTTGATAAGTGTAAATATTATTACTTTTGGACACATTTTTTTCAAATATAGCTGCCGAGTCGCCAACACACAAGTTGATGGCGTGATCAAGACCATGAAAATTCTGTACTCTCAATTTGGCCTTTTCAAAATTAAAGGCATCATTGTCCATTCTAATTTTTTTACAACGGTTCCATTAGATATCAATGTTCTTGTGGGCTCATTCGAAATCCATTCTTGAAAAGTCTATAAAGGAATCACGGATATTAGTGTCCTTGTGGTCTCATATAAAACATGGAGCTTAGAACCATGGGTCTGCTTCATTACCTTCACCATCTCGGTTTAGATATTCATATCCATTTCTATCCGCATATCCTAGTCACCCTGTCACACCTACGTTTAATTTTTACTATGATTCATTATCTAATGGTCTGAGTTTAAATATTAGTGGAAGCAATATTTGTAGCAATTAGGTGGAATCATTGAGAACTCCAGAGCAGAACAAAATCCGGTGGAAGCTAGAGTTGAACTTTTCATTTGTTCTCAATTCATAAAATATGATCCCCTGTTAACTCTTCTACACTGGGGGTTGATGCCCCTTCATCATTTTCTATTCATCTCTTCAATGCTGTAAATTGGTAGGTAATGCCTGATAGTCAAATTTTTGCTTGTGCATGTTTGGTCTCATCACACCTGATTTGGGTTCTATATAGCTGAGATGATTGATTTCTTTTTAACAGAATGAAACTTGGCAGAAATTGTATATATTACTGTATTACTTTTGGATATAATTTTTAATTATTTTTTTCAAATACAGACGGCGACTATACACAAGTTTATGGCTTTTTCTAAATTAATGGCATCACTGTCCATTCTTGAAGTATTCTACAAAGGTTCTGCTAGATATCAATTTTCGAAATTAAAGGCATTACTGTCAATGGTCTTTTCAAAATTAAAGGCGTCCCCTTTCAACAATGTGTTCATAAGATTCCATCTTGAAAAGTCTACAAAGGAGACGAGTATATGGATGTCCTTGTAGGCCCATATAAAACATGGACCACTGACCCATGACCCCATGGGTCTGCTTCGTTAACTTGACCGTCTAGTGTTATTCACATCCATTTCTATGCATATATCTTCTCACCTGTCACACCTACGATTAATTTTAACTATGAACTATGATTCACTATCAAAGCAATATTTGTAGCAATGGTTAAAAGCATAAAGTTAAACTTGATATTTGATACAGTTGAACTTGTATTTGGAGTAAATTTTTTACTGTGATATGGCAGATAAATGTAACTAGTGGTCCAAACAAATGTTATAGGAATCGTATAATTTTTTGATTACTAAATTTTCAAAGAGCAATCGGAACAAGCACACCGTAATCTAATTCTCATAATTTTTCTTATTTGCAGGAAAGCTGGAACACCAAGACCTCTTTGGAATGCAGCTTCGCAAATTCTTATGGCTGTCGGGTACATTCTGATGGCCATGGCATTGCCTGGTTCACTATACATTGGCTCAATAATTGTCGGGATATGCTATGGAGTCCGCCTTGCTGTCACAGTTCCAACTGCCTCTGAACTATTTGGCCTCAAATATTACGGTCTCATCTACAACATTTTAATCCTCAACCTTCCGCTAGGCTCCTTCCTCTTCTCCGGCCTGCTTGCCGGATTCTTATACGACGCACAAGCTACTGAAACCGCCGGAGGTGGGAACACATGCATAGGTCCCCACTGTTACAGGCTTGTGTTTGTGGTCATGGCTATTGCTTGCATTGTTGGATTTGGTTTGGATGTCTTACTGTCAATCAGAACAAAGACACTGTATTCCAAGATTTATGCTAGCAAGAGGTCAAGGAAATCAGGAGCAGTACCTAATGTCCATTGAGTGATCATGAGTAAGTATTCAATACTCCGGGATACCGGGAAAATAGTACTCCCGACCAATACAAGTTTGCTATTTCCTATCGGGAAATGTTTTATTTTGTTGGCTGGGGGTATTCAATAACCGCTATCCCGGGGCTTTAAATATTTTTGTGAGTGATCACAGGCTCATCAAGATGGGAGGACAAGAAGTATGGGATTGATGGGCAATTTCCTAATGAAATCCTTGCTTCACTTTTAGCTTTATCTGATATCTCCCAAGATCAGAGGCATTGTACTGTATGAGTTTCCGCATATTCCTCATGAGAGCATAATAATTGTTTGGATTAATATTGCATTTCATAATTCTAGAGCTCTAGTTAAATTTGTTCCATTTGTTGTAGCTTAATGCAGTTGTATTTTAGTTGAATTCTAGAGAAAGAAATGAAAAAACAATTGTTATATTAGTATTGATTGATGAATGGTCATTAACACTTGTCTCTTGGATTTGGTAAATTTTATTTATTTATTTAAATTTAGTTCTATTTGTGGCTAAACATCACAAGACCATATAAGTTCGAATTACTTGGTGACTTTTGAAATTGGTTAATGAATTAAATGAGTATAAGATTGATCACATTTTGGAATTGGTTTTAATTTTTCTAGTCGACTTACTAGAGCATATGTCACTACTTGTCTCTATTCAACTTGTTTATATTTCTGAGATGGGTCTACTGGTATGTGTGGTGGGTGTTTCTTTTCTTTCATTAATTGTTTTAATCTAATGGGAGTATAACAAAGGTCTTATGCTGCTGTCCTTGATGGATTTGGCATTAAAAAATAGAAGAAATTAAGCTCAGCCTTTATGTCCAAAGAAGTCTGCTGGACTTATTTTTATATCCATTTTTTAATTTTTTTTTCTTAAATTTTTTGGTTGTAATCTTTAATGCAAGAAAATATACAATTTTGCATTGTTGTCAAGTTTGGATCTCTCATTATTTAATAAACAAGTTAGATCAAACAGAGAGTTGTACATAAAATAGTAACAAACAGCTGACTGAATTTAGCATATCATCAAGCAGCAGATTGAATTTGGCATACGATATCTTGGCCGGATTTGGATTTCAGCCAAAGGGTGAACAAAATAAGTCCTAGACCAATAAACTTTATATAACGAAGGTGCACGTATATATCTCATTCTTTGTGTTGTATGTGTTCCTTGTTAAAAGTTACATATGAATGAATTTTTATTTTTAGTTTACTCCCATATCTCAAAATTTATAACCAATATTTTTCTTCATGTTATTTCATTTCATCTAATTGTCAATTTTATCTGCACAATTTTATATTTGTGCTTGATTTACGTCTCAACAGTGAGGATATTTACATGAAAAGATATATTAAGTTTTGAACATCTCTTTACAAACAAATGTGACACTGTATCGATTATAGATTAAGCAATGTCATCAAAGTTGTATATTTTACAAATGCGGCAATATATCAATTATAGTTTAAGCAATTTGATCAAGGTAGTATATTTTGCTCAACTTAAGTATAAAATTTTTAGTGGGTCAAGTGTAAAAAACACCCCTATAATATGCTTACAGTGCATATTGCAATCTTCCCGTGCAAAAAACACCCCTAAACTATGACATTTGTGCAAATAGGTCATATTTATAAAAATTGGACTAAAATACCCTTAGCAACACACTTTATAAAATATATATAAAAAAAATATTTTGTGAAATGACTAAAAAGGGTTTGCCCTTCTTTTTCTTCATCTTGATGGTCGCCTCAAAGAGGGAAGGGAGAATACCTATCATATCCAGCAGGAATTGTTGAGGGGGTTCACTGTCTTGGAGGACTTGAGCTGCTGCTGTTGGTGGGTTGGTCCAAGTTGAGGTATATAGGGGTACTGAGAGACTCTGTTGATGTATAATTGCTTTCCGATGGTGGTGGAGGAGCAGGGTTCTGTTGTTGATATGGTGATGGTGGCGGCGGTTGTGGGGAAGAGGGAGTAGGAGGCTGTGATGGGTGTTCTAATTTTAATCTCTTCTCTACCTGTTCATGTAAAATAAGAGAATTAAAAGCACATATGCATTATGTGTATGTATATATAGAGAAATTGAGAGATGGGGGTTTCGAGATTTACCTGTTTGAGAGGAGAAGAAATTGGTGTGGATAGATGGTGGTAGTGGTCGCTTCTTCCTTGCTTGAGGGGTATATGTTTAACCATCAATTAGCCTTTTTAGGGTTTGTATCTCTGAATATATGTTTCATCTTTATGGATTAAATCTTTTAGGGTTTGTATCACTGAATATATACTAGATGTCTTCCTCTGCCTATTACAACTTGTGAACCATTTTCCTCCACTGGTATTCCTCTCTCTCTCTCTCTCATTATGGAGTAAAAGTATGTCCACGCATATTAAATTGTATATTGCATATGCAATTAATCAGTTGCCAAATCAATGCCATGACTATAAAATCTTTGCATTTTCATGGTCAAATGGATATGAACAAATTAAACAAACTCACAAAGAAGAAGAAGAATTAGAAGGTTTGGTAGGGGCATTTTTGGAAGAATAAAAAAATAAAATGGATATTATATTAATTGAGGGGTGTTTTCGCACAAATTGAAAAGAATAGGGATTTTTTTGTATACTTTTTAAAATAGAAAGTAAAAGTGTTATGAAAAGTATACTTTAAGGGTATCTGTTGCACTTGTATACTTTTTAAAATAAGAGGTAAAAATGTTATGAATAGTATACTTAAAGGTAATAGAAAGACTCAATATGTTTATGGTTTCAAACCACACCCCAAATGGTTGTGATAGATTTAGTATTCATAATAATTTTTCAGCGCAATATCTTCCTAACAGGGGTGGTAAATGGGTGATTTGGGCCGTGTTGAAAATTGGCGGGTCGAATATGAGTTAAGACCAATATTTAATTTGTTTAGAACGGATTGAAAATGGACGGATCAAAAATATATCGGGTCAACCCGCTATGATCCGTGAACTCATTAATTATTATATTATTTTTATTTTTTAACTAATTCCATTAGCCCATTCACAATAGGACCAAGCTTGCAACATATTTAGTGCCAAAAAATATTACTCCAGTCAAGAAATGCCACAAGATTAAACAATTGACAAGGGCATACAAGCTTACAACAGATTTAGTGCCAAAAATATTACTCCAGTAAACAAATGCCACAAGGGCATAGAACAGCTACAGATAAGAATGATAAGAATAACACAACTCAAATATAAACAGCATACAACATTCCCGGTTTAGAATCATAATTAATCAGAACCACAATCATTTGAAAGAGAAACCAAAGAGTGTATCGAATAATGGGAATAGAGTTGTAAAAAAAAAATTCTAATACTAACAAAGTTATGGCAAAATAGAATAGATGAAAATATACCGGATCAGAGGCACCACCCAATGACCTCCCCCTTACAATACAACATCACAATACAGTAGCATCCCCAACACACTGCAATTCTTAACTATGCAAGACTTCATTATAAGACTTTGCGCAGAAGCTGCTTTCAACGATGCAATCCATGAGACAAATTTGCCAATATTTGAAAAGGGAAACAGAACTTTAGGCTAATGTACAGACAAAAATCTTGTATTTCCTTTTCAGTATTAGAAAAAAGAACTAAAGCTTTAAATTAGCAAGTAAACAGAGAAGGTTTTAAAGTTAAATCAATAACAAGTCACTAAACAAAAATAATCAACCTCTTCCACTATTTCACTGAACTCATCACCAAAATAGATAAAAGAAGACTAAACAAGATACATCTATCCTCCATTTCATCTTTTAAGGTTCTGATTCGTTTTACCATCATATGGAACTGCTACTCTACCAAGCTACCAATGAGAACATTTAAACTTAGTATTCTAATATTTGAACCTGCAATTAAAACATAAAAGAAATCAGAAAGAGGACGCATCTTCTTTATGGAACTGCTATTCTACCAAGCTTAATTAGGACTACAAGAAGGCATCTGCCAAAGAGAGGGAAGATAAAGTCTAGGATTTCAGCATGCACTTTCCATTCCTTTGTTTCTGTGCCAAAGAGAGGGAAGATAAAGTCTAGAACTTCTCAAGAGCCTCTTCAAATCACCCAAGTTACAGAGACAAAAGTTATCCGAGTGAGACCAAATACGTAACAGATCACTTGTCAGGCTGAGCAATGATAGGTTCAAAATCTTCAACCAGTCCCTCTTCATCAAAATCTTCTGAAAATACATCAAATGATTACAATCTATATATTTATATATATATAATTAAATGTAAAAAATAAAATTAAATGCAACTTTCACAAATTTAAAATTACCTATGACATCATTCAACCAATCCCGGGTACACAACAATGCTTCTAGGTTGTCCGGTAAGATTAAATTTCGATATTTGCTGATAATCTGGCCTCCAATGCTAAAAGCCAACTCTGATGCAACTGTCGTGATAGGAATACTCAAAACATCACGCGCCAACATAGAAAGTTCCGCAAATCGATTTTGGTTTGCATTCCAATATTCAAGAACATCTAGATCAACATTTTGTTTTCGATCAAGCACCTGTTCTTCTAAATACAAATCCAATTGTGTCTTGTTTCTATTTAAGCCATAGCGCTGACTTCTAAAAGTGTCAAACTCCTACAAATAAATTTTGTATTTAGTATAATACAAATTATAGAATATTAAAGATGAAAATAAATATAATTCACAATGGAACGAGCTTACTTATATCCATTTCATCTACATCACTAGTAATGCCGGCTCTCAATGAAGAGGGGGTTGCAAAAAAGAAGATACGCACATACTCTTCAAAAAGCATATATAAATTCTCAATGACTATTTTAGCCCTTGCTTCAAATGTCTCCTCATCAAGCTTTGAAAAACGGCACTCCACATATTCCAACTTATATCAGGGATCCAATATTATTGCACAAGATAACACCATGTTATAACACTCCCAATATTTATCAAACTTTTTCTTTCATCTGCGTTGCCATAGAACGTATAACAGTGTCTGTACTACTCAACTGCTCATTTATAAGGAGTTCTATTTTCCAAACCCCACGAAAATACAAATTAGCTGTAGGATACTTACTCCCTGAAAATAGGGTTATGAGATCATAAAAAGGTTTCAAAAACTTAGCTATTCTTTCAACCCTAAGCCACTCCTCATCTGATGGGCAAGTTTTGAAATTTGTGTTGATTAACTTTAGCAGATAAAATTCTTGACGAAACCTTAATACACTCTCAATCATAAGATAAGTGTAATTGCATCTTGTTACCACATCTTGATGCACTTTCTCGCTACCTTGCAGTGAGAGCTGAACAATGCATTCTGCAAATTTGATTTTTCTTCCCTCGGACCCTTTTACATATTTCACACTTTCACGAATCTTATAGATAGACTCATCTATCACTTTTAATCTAGCTTGTA